CCCCAAAACCCCAAAACCCCAAAACCCCAAAACCCCGATAAAATATCTAAAATTGAATCTATTTTTCAAATGTTAATTTCTGTTACACATTCAGGCTCAATCCGAGCAATGAATTTGGTATCAAACCATGCATTGGTCTTGTCAATTGCTTCAAAGACTTTGCTTGCAGGTGCAGCACTGACCTTTACATCTCTTGCACAGAACGTTCTTGCAATAAATGCATCTTCCTATTTTTGGTGGAGCTACCTTCTTATCCGCCTTAACATTCCTCTTCCTCCTAAAATCCTTCCCCGCACAAGCACATTCCTCCTGCTCCAAAACCACTCTCACCGTATGATCCTTCTTAACAATCTCTTCTAACAATTCTTCAAATCCTTCCTTACTCAAAGCCCCATCTAACGTAGGCGAGTTTGTTAAGGAAGAGAGAAGGGATGAGTAGGAAGGAGATTGGGGAGGGGAAGGAGGGGGACTAGGGGGGATTTGGGGGATGAGGGGGTAGAGAGAGGGAGAAGGAGGGGCGATAGGGCGTTTTCGAGGAAGATTAGGGCTTTTGGGAATTTTTAGGGTCAGAGAAGGGGTAGGAGAGAGTTTGGAGAGGGTGATATCGCAAGAGGAGGGGGAGAGAGGTTTGGGACAGGTAGGAGCTGTTGTGTCAGGGTTTGAAGAGTCGAGGAGGGCTGGGGGAGTAGGTGTGGATTTGGAGGGATTTTCGTGTATTTTGAGATATTGTTGTCCCATAGTGATTTGTTTTGATACTGCATGCTTTTCTACTTGGGCTTTTAGACCTTCAATAACTTTTTGTTTTAATCTTATCATTTCATTCAGTTCTATGAGGCTATTTTTCAAATCGGTATTCTCAATTTCGGCTTTCTCTCATGCAAATGCTTTATCCATAAATACTTTTTGTCATTGGTCAATAGAATCCCTTAAAGAATCAGTTCATTTATGTTGAGTTTTCTCACTCACTCTATAACTAAACCCTCAATCATCACATTTCCTGAGTAACCAGCTGCATCGACTCTGATGTTGTTTGATTTCAGCTATTTTTCCAATGAAAAGTCAATGAGGGAATGCTTTTCAGTTCCAAAGCCTATAAGTACATTTAAGAATATGTTTCTCTTGTGCTCCAATTTTCTCTCGTCAATATTGACATCTAGCCTCTTTAGCTTCTTTAGTACAACCCATTCTGTGAATTCTTACATCTTTTAGTAGAAGCTCTTTGGATCAATACTGACACTTAACTATTTGGAATTGGCAGTCTTTGGAATGAGTGTCTTCATCTCTCTTGAATTTGACTGGGCACCCACGTTCATAGTTTCAGCAACGGAGTAAAACATTCTTGAAGGTCTGATCCAAATCTATTGGCCGAATAACTGCTTTTGATCACCCAGAATATCATCTACCTGCTGGAACATACTTTATCACTCACTCTGAACAAAACAAACATTTACACCTCGTACAAGTCACTGGCCTCCTTAAAAACCCCGTTCAAATCTTACAACAGACCTTCTCCGCAGGCGGCTCCACTACCAAATCCTTCGTGTAGGTCAGAGCCCCTCGCAGAGGGCTCTGACTGGGCACGAAAGTTTTCGGAATTTTGGAAGAGGCCTGAGTGAAGGATTTTTGGCAGTTTTTGGTACGGATTTTTAGGAAGGATTGGGGAGCTGGCTGGGGCCGGAAGAGGGAGCTGGGCTTTGAGAGAGTGGGGTGTTTGAACTTGAATTTTTGGGCGGGAACAGAGCTGGAAGGGGTCTTTTTCATTAAGGTTTTGGGGGAAGAGGGGTTATGTGGGAGGGGGGTGGGATTTTGGAGCTGGGTGTTGGGTTGGGGAGGAGGGAGGTTTCAATGGATGGTGGGAATAGAGGGGTTTTGGGGTTTTGGGGTTTTGGGG